TTGAAGTCAGAAACTTTAAGCTTTACCGTAACTTTTATCAATTCAATAATATATATCTTTTTTGTATGATGCACAGACAAGTCAGGACACACAAACATGACAGTTACAATATGCCATAAATAAATGCATCCCAACCACTAAAGCGAGGAACCACAGTTGTTTTCTCGTGAGTTCCAAATACAATGTATGAAGGTGAGTTTGGTGAGCCAGTTTTCACCTATTTTAAGATAACAGCGACCTTTTTAACTATTTCAGGTGTGAAGCGGCAACAATTCGAACACGTATAAGAAAAAAAATGGGGGGTTGTTCCTAAATTGAGACAGTTTGAAACAGAACATTCAGTTCATTTCGGCACACTGTTTTAAATCTTTTTTAATCTTAAAGTTCTGCACAGTTTACTTACATGTAAATAAGTAAAACATGTTTTGAATGACATATTCCCATTAAAAGTTTACAACCTTATTGTATACGCTGTATTTAGATTGTGTATTGTTTATGTATCTAAAATGCTTCCTTGATCCTAGATTCAATACAATGAATTCTATCGAATTTCATACTGCAGTAGAGACGGCATCTCATTTGTGAATGGAATAATCAATCACGTGATTTATCCTTAATGGGGTACTTTAAACTAAATTAACCACAATTTACCTTATATAAGGTGTTCGATAGTTTATCTATCAATCTTTGGCGTATAAAAGTCATTCATTCAAAATTAAATATCCTCTTCCGCATGTAGATTTCCCTCAGTATCTCTTTCCTATTCCCTTTGTAGTTGTGAATGAAACTTTTTCGACGGAAGGAGTGACTTCTTTCAGATTAATTGTTGGTTTCGATTAGCCCTCATTCATTATTCAATTCCCCCACGCTCTTATTTTTTTTCTTCTCGACTTCCATTACGCAAACGGTCTATTTACGATAGAGTAGCCCCATCAGACAGACCGTCACATCACGTGTATTAAACACTACTCTCATCCATAATCGAAAAAAGATTTCCCTCTATAACATTTATTCAAGCTTTATTTAGGTTTCTTTTCCCATTTCAGCACATATGTATAAAAATTTGATATACGCGTTAATTTTGACTTGGTTTGTCGTGTGCACTATTTATCATCTATCATGACCTCTCTCTCTCTCTCTCTCTCTCAGCTAAATGTTAGTTAAAATCTTTCTGAATTTCAATCAAGCGCCAGAGTAACATCAATTGCCCCTTAGCTAAAGTTGCAATTTTACCTAAAATATTCTTTGCCTAATTCGATCAGTTAGTGCGCGATTAAGTTTTTAAAAAAAGAAAAAAAAAACCCACATTATCCTCTCTGCAATATAAATTGCAAGCATTTTCTAATTTGCTTGAGTGGGAAAATCTCAAGATGAACATTCTATACCAAAAACGTGTAGTTAACGTTTAAACAAATACTATACAGTGTTGTGTACAGAGAAGAGAAATACGATTATGGAAGTATAAATTGTAATTTTCTGCTCATAAAAAGCGATAATTTGATGTGTAAGAGTAACTTGGTGATATCATGTGGTCACGCCTCCCGACTAATAAAAAACAATAAATAAATCGTTAAACATAAGTACTGGTCATTAGGATAGACAATCAACCTTCTGGTTTATTGCTGTCTGTCAGGTGATTGGACTTCTGTTGCACTTTATACGCTTTTTATGAGTTCTGGACAGTCCATATTTCTAACCGGGTTCGAGATTCGTGTCGTGACCCCCACGTGACAAGGAGGGGACGACGACTTCCATAATTAAAGCAATTGATAATAGATTTTTTATTAAGTGATCGGGTCAACATTTATGTAATGATTTTTTATGTTCTCACGCCTACTACGTAGTCATTAAATAATCCTTATTATTTTATGAAAAAAATCCTGGTGAAATAAGTTTCGATACGTGATTCATTTCCTAATATTACATATTTATATATATCATCATTTTTAAACTGAGTTAGATTTTAAGAAAACATAATTCAACATCAGCATGTATGAAATTGAAAAATTGATTCTAAAAATTTCAGTTTAAAAAAAGAAAGTTTAAAAAAGGAAATTTTAATGAATAAATGAATTCTAATAATAACGTTGAAATTTATAATTATATTTCAGGAATATTTTTAAAAATCATATTCCACATTTAATGAAGTTTTTCATATTTTACGAAGTATAAAACTTCCAAATTATCAAATTGTCCTCTGATTTTTTAAGTAATCAATCAATGATCATGCGATTTGTCATGCATTTTACCCAATACAATCTCATATGTTATTAAATTCAGATGTTGTAATTTTTTTTTTTCAAAAAGTTATTCAGAGTAAAAAATAAAAATTTATAAATCTGCTCATAACCCGAGTAATGAACCCTGTAAATAAAATGTTTAATTAAGGTTTTTTTCAGTTGATACATTCATACTACAGTTTATCCAAATAAAAAAAAAACATTTAAAAAAATAAGTAGCAGACTTTTAACCCTTTCCTACTTTTCATTATAGAGAAAATTACGTAACAATTTACAGTTACATGTACCCTTTTCACCTGTTCTGACATAGCGATCTATAGATCTGATTATTCAAGATCGACGGCATCTATCTCTATGTCAAGAAACATACATACAAAGTTGTGCGTACATGAAGTTGTGCGTACATAAATTACAAACACATCTAATGAGCGCATTACATGTAACATTTAGAAATACGTGCATTTCAGTTAAATACTGGTACATGTATGTAACTGTTGAACTACCGGTGCCTCCTCAAAAGTACATGTAGTTCAGCAGTATAACATTACCTCGTCTCAAAAGTATTTTTAAGATTAGTTTCCCTATACTTTAATTTGGATCATGTGAATACATATCAAGCCTGTACACTAGTTCAGTATATAAAGTAACTTTACCCACTGTGCCATTTCAGGCCCTTGTCCTGACCATCATATATAATGTTCATACCTACCTTCTTTATCTTTGTTTTTAATTTTTTCGTCTCATCGTTTTGCGGTTTGAGTCTGTTCTGGATTAATTAAATAAGGGCTTGATTTTTATATAAGTTTGTAAACCTACTCGTCTTGACCTGTTTATAAACCTTCCTATTATTGGTATATGCCTACTCATATCATTCATATACCTTGACCTTAAAATGGGTATAGATATCTTTTTCTTTAAAAAGAAAATAAACAACAGGAAATAACAACATCATGCAGACATTAGAACAAATTCGGCATCTTGTCTCATTTTCCATTCCAGGCGAGAAAAGGGATGGTGTTTTTCTCAGTCCCCTAGACGCCTTTCATGGATCATACGTACACGGTCAGAGAGACCAAGTCATGATTTTGACCTTTACGGTGGAAAAAATAAATAATGGTCCGTAGATCATAGTGAAGAACGTAATACTTACTAATTAACGGACACTTCAAAAGCAATGAGCTTGTCTAGATTTCAAGTCATTCTTGAGAAATGCTTGTGTAGGGGGGTTCTAAAACTTAACATGTTTCGTAAAAGGATTGCTATAAATGTTTAATATTCCTTCGATCTGCTGTTCTAGACTGCAGTTAATTGAAACTTCATGCAAATTTCTGACAATATTTAGAATATCTATGGTTTGGAGGGGGAAAAAAGAATAGTAAGACAGTTATACAACATAGGACACTTTTCGAATGAATTAAACAAATTTTCATTGCGTAATAAAGAAATGCTAGCTAAATACAGGTTTTGATTGTTAACAATTTTTAGTAGCAATTTGACATTCCCAGTATACCGTCAATAATTTGGTTTATTGCTTCTACATGTATCGGAGAACACGTTCCGCATAAAGGAAACTGTTTCTACCGACACTAATTTGTTTGTTTTGATTTTTATAGCACCCTCCATCTGGAAGTTCATGACTGAAAAATTATGCTTTTTTATTTTTTTTAATTATATTATGTCGTAGTTTTCAAAAAAAAAAGCAGGAAGGAAAGAGAAAAGGATGGAAATATAAGAATACAATTCCACTGCATAATGCTAAAAATCAAAATCAGTTACAGTTTTTTTTTCTTACTGCGTTAAAAGGAGGATTGATGTGTGAGTAATATTGTTTCTGTTGCAGATGCCGTCTTATAGATGCGCGTCATTAATGACCGACAAAAACGTTATATCATGACACCAAGGGGGGGGGGGGGGTGTGCTGTGATTATAGTAATACAGAGTTCCCCCCCAAAAAAACCATTGCATTTCCCCCGTTTCTCTAAAACTAGAAATTCTCATTTATTATTTTCGATTATCTCGGTAAAAAAAACCCTGCAAATCTGCCACAAAAAAATGTCTTTTACTTGACGTAAGCTCATACGTGACTGAAAATATGTGTACCTTAAGATGAAAATCGTATATTTTTATTTATCCAGTTTGCATATAGCACTTGTGAAAATGAGGTCTTCGATCTGTACGCTTTATTCCTTATCTGTCAGAATTTCACTGACTGCCGGTTACTGAACGGATCTAAAGAAAATAACCAAAGTATAAAATATGACTTAAAGCCACCCTTTCTCATTTTCGCTCTAATTTGGAGTTTACAATATCATAAAATTTGATATCACGGTGTGCAATTTATGTACAAAAAACGATGAATGAATAAATTTAAATCACAAATAAAAAGAATATGTGAGAATAAGATAATAAATAAATAAATTTATAAAACAAATTTATGCTACCAATAAATGAATGGATTAATAAATAAATAGATAAAGTCAATAAATATTTTTTTCTTAAGAAAGTTTATATATATAATGCCCTATACGAATACTGAAACATCTTAAGAAATTCTAAGGCCTGTAACCAAGTTGGACACGTTAAATTTTTTAACGAAATCTAGATGCATGATAGCAGGTCAGTCGTTTGATACATACGTGACTGTAGATAATTTTGGTACTTTATCGATAAAATTAATTAAATTAATGCTAATAATACCACGCCTAGCTTCTTGCACATCCAAATGACATCCCCGGGGGTTAGTCCATCATTGCTGTAATTTGATTGGTTGACGTAAATCACATGTAATACTTCCGCCATATTGTCGAGACAGAGAAGTTGAGCACTTCGTTTTATCAGTGAACTGATCGTGGAGCTGAGGGCGATCTGATCCTCCATGGACGAGAGACGATCGTCTGGCAGGTAGATAAATTATTTAGAAACACACATAAACACAAAAATCAAACCCAAAACGACAAATCAAGCCATGAATTGATAGCAGTCTTGGAAAACCCAAATCATTTGCATCTTGTTGACATTTTTCTTTGTTATTGTTTTGTTGAATTCTCTTGGAGCTTTGCCAGATGTTCTAAGTTATGATTGAAAAAAAGATATTTTTCTTGAAATATGTAACTTTGCAAAAAATTCAGAGTTTTTCATCACTAAACATGAACTCTATTCGAAATGAGAGATACATGAATATTTCGAATTGCCTCGATAATGTATGCACATTTCAGATGAATTTGGTACAGTGTTGTAAATGCCTCAACTACCGTGTAAAAACGAAAAGATTAATTACATCTACATGTCGACATAAATATTTTATTCAAAGACATACAAGAATTTATGGAATGATTGCAAAAGTTTAATAAAGTCCCAACAAGTTTGTTTACAAAAACGTTGAATTTATTTTGTGTAACAGTGGTCTTTTAACTTGCACATTTCCCAGATTATCATGCAAAACTAGGTCATGAATGAAACAAATATTGAGATCTAACAATAGATAGATTTAAATGGTTGAGATTTATTGTATAGATAAAATATTTTGTGTAGGGTATCTTTATAGCAAATAACTCAAATGAAACTCACAACAAGGGAAGGAATGAAGTGGATATTTACCTCTAATCTTATGATTTTACTGGAAATTTCTGTCTTTATATGATGAATCAAGGAGACAAACTCCTGAAATATTAAACATGTCTCTATAGTAGGAACTAAAAAGAACAAGTCACGAAAATTGCGGAACGGAATGCCCGGATCCCAGACAGTAGCACCGGTTGTCAATTACAACCGAGCACTCCATCCAATATTCAAGAAAGATAACTCTAATATAGCGTATATGTATCCACTACAATTGTAAATCTAATGGAAAATTAAGTCTCCCATATATAGACAATGTAATATTTTGTCATGTTTACTCCCTTATGTAGTGGATATCAGGCATACAATATTGTTTTCGTATGATCAGTTGTGACGTCACAATGGCTTTTGCATGAAAATTATAGAGTCAAATAAGGTGGACTCACATGTATAAATACAGTGCAAAAATATGTGATAGCTAGGGCTGTTCCAAAATTTTTCGGGTCGGGTCAGGTCGGTTCTGTAAATTTTCGGTTTGGTTTCGGGTTTTTTGGTTCGGTTAATTACCTCTTTTTCAAGCCTTAATTTCATGAATTAAACAAAAAAAATCTTTATTTGTTACGTTACATTCACCTTAAAAACAAATCCATGTTTACATCTTAACATCGGTGTTCAGGACTACTAGGCCGACTACTAGCTACAACATGACCATTTGTGCTAGCTTTGATAATTATCTAATCCTTTCGTGACAATTTTTGTCATGGAATGAAGTATAATTCAGTTGTAATGTTTATTTATCACTGTTAGCGCCATCATTCTTTTGATTTCGACACCATTTTTTTGTAGAAAACATATTCTAATAAACAAAACAGACCCGAACCGAAATCCGTAAAAATGGAACTGAAACCGAACTGAACAACTTGGACTGTGGTTTTTAGTTATTTCGGGGAACTGTGACAGCCCCAGTGATAGCTATGTTTAAAACGTGTAATGAAAAGAATCTCCTATGGTTTGTGGTTGGATATGAATTTTATCTATCTCGTGTGTTTTTTATCCCCTTGCCAAGGCTTGGGGATAAAAAAAATACACAACTCCTTGGATAAAAATCATATCCAACAACAAACCATGGGAGATTCTACCTATATATGTTTCTGGACTCATATTGGAAAGTAGTCTCCAAATAATGAAAATTGCTGGGACGCAGCATAACTTTTAGAGTCATATATTTTTAAAAATTCTGTTGAACGTCTTAGCATTAAATAAGTAATAAGAGAGAACACTGTTTATTCCAAGGCATTCACTCTTTCAGTTACATGTAACTAGGTCAAGTAGTATAGGTCTGAGTTCCTGAATTTTTATCGTTTCAAATGGAAGTAGAGATTCATATACATATAGAATATACCTAGAGATGTGTTAAGAAAAGTAATTAGGTCTTTGTGTAAAAGGAACAGTAATTTATGCTTATGATACTATTAGAATCAAAAGCATCAATATATCTTTAAATAGAGATTTTCTTCGGACCTCTAACATCAGTGTCACCAGTGAATGTTATCTCACCCATGTTTTTTTTTTAACCATAATACATACCTATTGTTGACATCCACATGTTTTGTAATGTTTCAATCTGATTGTAGGCTAGGTTGCACTATAATCATGATATTGGTTCTTTTGAATCCAGGTATTGATGCAGTAAAAGTTGATCAGCAATTATATGTCAGAGTTGATTCATATATCAACTTTTACAAAGCAGTTCAGGTTAACTTTGTCACTCAATAAATGTTGACAGTGCACCATTACTAAAATAATACAGGTTTTCAAATTGATAGAAAATTGTAATTTAAATTATACGGTATACTTTACTTTGAAACTTTTTTTCACAGGGCAAAACGTCAAAAGCCCATAGATGAAGGATCATGGGATTGCAGTGTGTGCACATTTCAGAACCCCGCAGAAGCGTACAAGTGTGAAATGTGTGATGTCAGGAAAGGGACATCCACAAGGTAGGGGTCATTATGGATATTTCCACATGTCAATCTATGCAACAGATTTATTGGGGATTTCTCTACAATGTCAACTTTGTTGCACAAAGGTGACTAGATATATGGAGTAGTAGCTTTTTGACAGAAAATTCCCAGAAAATTCCTTTTTGTATAGTTAGCATAAACATGGTGAATAATTCCCAGATATAGGGTTTGGAATGAGATTAACATAAGATTCCATTATCATACAGGTCAAGCACATAAATACTACTAGAAAAGTGGTATTGCTATATTTGAATGGAAAAAAAACTCCATTTACAGATAGAGATTCAACTGAAATTGCTATGGAAACATTGCACCTATCAAAAAATATGTGCTCTTGTTATGAACATGTCTATAAGAAGTTATATAAATTTCTTAAGGTGTGTGATTACAAAGACTTGCACAAATTTATATTAATCATAGCTTGGATTTTTTATAACTTGCAGGACTTTTGGGATAAAATTGAGGGTGTTTTCAAACTATAGCATTATATCATTAATACAGTAAAACTTGGTTATAAAGAACTTGCTTATAAGGCCAAAAAAAATAATAGTCTTGTTTCCTGCTACCCGACCTACCGTATTTTTTTGCACCCAACCCTAAAGTTTTTTTTTAAGTTTGGAAAAAAAAAATCGGGAATTTCCGGAATTTCATCATTCTGTCACCGTGATCGGTTTCCGTGTTAACACAAAACAAACATTTCATGAAATTCTTGTTTTAAATATGGACTTTCATAAAATACCACTTGAGTTGTGCATAAAAAGACATGAAATTTAATTTTAAAAGACACTATTGACCTGTGACATGTTTTATTTGATCTTGTATTAGTTCATATCCAAAACATGCTGTTGAAAAAAAAATAAAATAAAAATATAAAATAAAATAATTTTCCTACCTACCTACCCTATTTTTTTCAGGCTGGTAGCAGGAAACAAGACTATTATTTTTTCTGGCCTAAGGGAACCTCTGTTATAAGAAAACTCCTACAAACCTTGTAGAAGACTTTTCCATGTTCCTTATACAGATATATATAAAGAAGCTTGATTATAAGAAAGCAAAATTTGAGGTCCCAATTACTTCCTTTAAACCTAGGTTTACTGAACAGTTTACTACTATAATGATTTTTAAGTTTGTGCTTGACCTGTTGAGCTGACGTTTATGGATTAACTATGTGTTTTTATATAAAAGTGACCAATAAAACTCTTATTAAGTCATTTTAGTGTAGATTTGTTGTTTTGTTTTCTAACTTTCTGTAGTTGCCTGTGTGGCGCAGTGGTTAGAGCATTTGCTCTTGAGTCGCAGTGTAAGGATATGATCCTTATGTTGTGGGTTCAAATCCCACTATGGTACAGGGAGACCGGTCCCTCGGATGAGATCGTATAAACCAAGGTCCTGTGTTGCAGTAGGTGCTGGCATGAAAAAGATCCCTCACTACTCAATGGCCCTGATTGCTGAGTATAGGTCTAAATTTGCAGCCTTCCACCGGCAAGTGGTAGCGTATCCACATGAGTGAAAAATTCTCAAGAGGGACTTTAAACAACAAACAAACAAAACACACTTTCTGTAGATATTGTGATGTATGTTTACATGCATTGAAGTATGTACATTTATCAAGATTCTCCACAAGGGTTTTTACCATGGCAGCTCATCATGGATAAATTTATGTGCACCATGGTTAAACAAGCCATTAATATCGATGGTTTCCATGATTGAATTTTGTGAATGAAACCTGCAGTCTAATAACTTGAGTAGTTAATTGTGTTTGTACATTATGACTCTACACAGACAGGAATATTGCTAAATAATTCCAATCTGAATTGTATTAATTGATTTCCTGTGTTTTGATTGGACGAGAATAAATTCAAGAAAAAGTTTACACATCGATAAATCTCTCAACTAGAACTACTTTCTTGGTCTAGCTTTTATTGTAAAAAAAAAAATGAAATAAATCGTTACTTCTAGTCTGTTTTAGCTAAATGATTACAGAAACTTTAAATTAAATAAAAACAATACTGACGACATACAGGACTGACAGATGGGAATGTTATGTTTATGTCACTGTCAGATCATGAGTGTGAAGTTTTATTTAAATCTCTCATACATGTAGGATATTATCGTTGTTCCTAATGCTAAGCAAATCAGCTCAGTTCTCGGTAGGTGATAGGAAAGAGAAACATACCTAAGACTCTTGCCTTATTAGCATCAAATTCATATTTCTACATCCTATATTCTCTCCCGTCTTTAAACAAACCAGAGCAAATCAAGGGTGTCGTCGGTATGCTACTTTCATTTTAGAGCGATTGTCATTAATGTCAACATGGACAAGGACAAATTGTTCTGAAGTCTACTTGTATTTACGATATTCTTTGACTTAAACAATATTCAAAGAGTTTTTATAAGTTTGTTTTTTTGAATGTTTTGACAATTTAAGTTAAACTTAATCGATGTTCATCTCGATTATGTTTCATTTCCACATTTCGACATAAAGTATTCCTATGCTGTATATAGAAATAACGGATTGTATGGAGGCTTCAAAGAGAAATAATTATTAAACTTCGTAATTGGAATTATAAGAATTAAACATTCTTTTTGAAAATTTTATCGATGTGCATTTTACTCACAAACTTAACATAAAAGTGCTTCGCACTTTTATTTAGTTTGTGAGTAAAATGTCAAGAGTTTACACATTGATAAAATTTTCAAAAAGAAAGTTTAATCCTATAATAAACATGGTTGTTGAACAGCAAAATATGGTGAAGCGTGACAATTAACAGTCAGTCAGCTACGTGATGATCAGTATGTGTATATACCTATTCAAAGGGGTAAAGTTTTCTGTACTTCATGTAATTTTGAGGGATTTGTACCATGTGTGCACTATATTTTAAACTAGAGTGTTCCAAGGAACGCATGTGTCGCTTGCTTTGTAGCTTCATTAAAGATGTAAATAAATCTAATAGTTAGTGGTCAGCTATTTATTTACTACTAGCATGATAGTTCATGTACTTGCTTGCATAGAAAAAAAAGCGTCTGCAGATAGTATAAGACTGCAATAGAATCTGACAATCAAAGAAAATATGGTTCCCAACCCTCAAATGATATAAAATTGAATTTATTAGAAATAATTATTTATCATTTTATCAGTAAGTATTTCCAGCAATCCTCCAGAAGAGATTTCAGTCTGGTTTTACTGCAATTGTCGGTCTGCACGATCCATTGTGGAATAGCCATCCCAATGTATTTTCATAGTATTTAAATATAAATTTGTGTAGTAACTGAATATTATACTGTTTCAAATGTATAGATGCTAATTATCAAAAACCTTGCCTCTTAAAATTCAAAAGACAAAAGTTAAATTAAACTGTCCGGGGTATTTTTTGCAAAGTAGGTCAAAGGTAAAGGTCAAGTGGATTTTAACACTGGTATTTTTATGCCCCCGGATCGAAAGATCCCGGGGGTATATTGTTTTTGTCCTGTCTGTCTGTTTGTCCATTTGTCTGTTTGTCCGTTTGTCTGTTTGTCTGTCTGTCTGTTGTCAACTTTAACCTTGCCCATAACTTTTGATTGGTTGGAGCTATGACTTTCATATTTCACATGTGTATTCCTTGTGACAAGACCTTTCTTTGGGTACCATCATATTTGACCTTTTGCCCTTGACCTTGGAGTTTGACCCACTTTTGCAAAATTTTATGAGACTTTAACCTTGGCCATAACTTCTTAACAGTTGGTGCTTGGGGTTTCAAACTTCACATGTGTATTCTTTGTGACAAGGCCTTCCTTTGGATACCAACAACTTTGACCTTTTGACCTTGACCTTGGACTTTGACCTACTTTTGAAAAACTTTAACCTTGGCCATAACTTTTGAACAGTTGGTGCTTAGGGTTTCAAACTTCACATGTGTATTCCTTGTGACAAGATCTTCCTCTGGATATCAACCACTTTGACCTTGACCTAGGAGTTTGACCTACTTTTGAAAAACTTTAACCTTGGCCATAACTTTCGAATGGTTGGAGCTAGGGCTTTCATACTTCACATATGTAATCCTTGTGACAAGACCTTCCTTTGAATACCAACCACTTTGACCTTTTGACCTTGACCTAGGAGTTTGACCTACTTTTGAAAAACTTTAACCTTGGCCATAACTTTTGAATGGTTGATGCTAGGGCTTTCATACTTCACATATGTAATCCATGTGACAAGATCTTCCTTTGGATACCAACCACTTTGACCCTTTGACCTTGACCTAGGAGTTTGACCTACTTTTTAAAAACTTTAACCTTGGCCATAACTTTTGAATGGTTGGTTCTAGGGCTTTCATACTTCACATATGTAATCATTGTGACAAGATCTTCCTTTGGATACCAACCACTTTGACCTTGACCTTGACGTTTGACTTTTATTTAAAAAACTTTAACCTTCGCCATAACTTTTGAACAGTTGTATCTAGGTCTTTCAAATTTCACAGGTGTATTCCTCGAGACAAGACCTTTCTTTGGGTATCAACATTTTTTATCTTTTGGCCTGGATTTTGACTTGCATTTGAGAAACTTTAACCTTCGCATAAGCTGCCATATGGGGGCATCAGTGTTTCACAAACACATCTTGTTCGTAATGTTTTATGACAAATAGTGCACATGCTAAAAAGCATAGACTTACCTCTTAAATGTCAAAAATATGCTTTAAATTGGCACTATGAACTATTTTGAAAAGTAGGTCAAAGGCCGAGGTCAAGGGTCACGAGGTTCGTAACCATGGTAATTTACAAAAGCCATATTGCAAAATATTAAATCCTTACTTCTTACAGTTTTTGAGATATAAGGTGTGACAGATGGACAAGAAAGATGCCGGGTAAAGTGATCCCTAAGTGTCGCTGTGCTCTGCAGGTGACACAAAAATACTTTCCTCCATGGTAAAATCTTAAAATTTGGAGAACTCTGCCTACCCCTGGAATTGAACAAACCTGCATCTACACTATGTAAAG